ATTGATTTTTTTGTATTGTTTTTTTAGTTTCTATGTTATTTATTTCTGCTCTAATCTTTATTATTTCCTTCCTTCTACTTACTCTGGGCTCTTCTTGTTGTTATCTTTCTAGTTCTTTAAGTTGTAGGGTTAAACAGTTTATTGCTGATTTTTCTTGTTTTTTGAGGTATGCCTGTAGTACTATGAACTTCCCTATCAGGACTGCTTTTGCTGTGTCCCAGAGATTTGGGGTTGTTGTATGTTCATTTTCATTTGTTTCCAGGAAGTTTTTATTATTTCTTTCTCGATCTCATTGGTAACCCATTCATTGTTTAATAACATGCTATTTAGCCTCCATTATTTGAATGTTTTTGGGTGTTTTTACTGTAGTTGATTTCTAATTTCACTCCACTGTAATATGAGAAGATGCTTGCTATGATTTCAATCTTCTTGAACTTGTAGAGACTTGTTTTGTGTCCTAACCTGTGGTCTATCTTTGTGAATGATCCATGTGCACTTGAGAAGAATGTATATTCTGCTGCGTTGGGATGAAATGTTCTATAAATGTCAATTAAATCCATCTGATCCAGTGTGTCCTTTAGAGACTCTATGTCCTTATTAAGTTTTTGTCTGGAAGATCTATCCAGTGAAGTCAGAGGGGTGTTAAAGTCCCCTGTTATGACTATATTGTTGTCAATCTCTCCATTAAAGTCCTCTAGAAGTTTTTATATATATTTAGATGCTCCTATATTGGGTGCATATATGTTTACCAGGGGTATATCCTCTTGTTGGATTGACCCCTTTAATATTTTGTAGTGACCTTTGTTGTCTCTTGTGATGGCCTTCATTTTAAAGTCTATTTTGTCGAATATGAGTATTGCTACTCCAGCTTTTTTTTCTTTTCCATTTGCATGGAAAATTTTTTTCATCCCTTCACTTTTATCATATGTGTGTCTTTTGTTTTGAGGTGGGTCTCTTGTAGACAGCATATAGTTGGGTCTTGTTTTTGTAACCATTCAGCTACCCTACGCCTTTTGATTGGAGCATTTAGTCCATTTACATTTAGGGTTATTATTGATAGGTACTTATTTATAGCCATTTTAATTCTGTATGGCTAGGTTTCTCTCTCTGTTTCTTCTTCTCATTATGGCAATCTCTTTAATGCTGACTTACATTTCTTGTAATGCTGACTTGGTGGTGATATACTCCTTTAGCCTTTTTTTGTGTGGGAAGCTCTTTATTTGACCATCTATTTGAATGATAGCCTTACTGGATATAGTAATCTTGGTCTCAGATTCTTGCTTTTCATTACCTTGAGTACTTTATGCCATTCCCTTCTGGCCTGTAGAGCTTCTGGTGAGAAATCACGTGTCAGCCTTATGGGAACTTCTTTGTAGGTAACAATTTTCTTTTCTCTTGCTGCCTTTAAGATTCTCTCTTTGTCTTTAATTTTTGGCATTTTAATTATGATGTGTCTGAGCATGAGCCTATTTGGGTTATTCTTTTTTGGGGTTCTCTGTGTCTCCTTAACTTGTGTGATTTTATTCCTTTACCAGGTTAGGGAAGTTTTCTGCCATTATTTCTTCAAACACCTTCTCTATGCCTTTCACCCTTACTGCCTCTTCTGGCACACCTGCTATTCTAATATTGTTATGTTTCACATTGTCTCACAGCTTCCTTAAGCTGTACTCCTGTTTTTTAATTATTTTTTCTTTTGGTTTTTTGATTGAGTGATATTTTCAACTCTGTCTTCTAATTCACTTATTTGATCCTCAGTTTCCCCGAATCTGCTATGTATTCCTTCCAATGTGTTCTTTATTTGTGTTACGTCATTCTTTATCTCATAGTTACTGTATCTTTTTTCATGCTGTTGAGCATCTTTACCATCATTACTCTGAACTCTGTTTCAGATAAATTTCTTATCTCTGCTTCATTTACCTCTTCTTCTGGAAAATTCTCTAGTTCTTTCATTTGGGGATTGTTTGTTTTCTCACTTTGGCTTTCTATTTGGTTTTGTGACTATGTATTAGGTAGATTCTCTACACCTCTCAATCTCTAGTGCAGGACAGTGTTAAAGGCTGTTTCTGACTAATTAGATCAGGCAAAGACTCAAAGCCTCCAGAGATCTTCTCTTCCTACAGACTGACAGGATTCCACTTGACTTGCCCCTGGGCAATTGTCCTCAGGTGTGGTGAGAGGTTTTTTTCAACAGGCTAGGGCAGTTGCTTCTGCCTGGAGGCTAATTGTTATTTTTATTCTTTTAAGTGGCCTCAGGGCAAGGTGTTTTCTAATAGGATGTGTCAATTGTCTTCCCCCCAGTCAAGACAAATGTCTATGTGTGAAAGATGTCTTCCGCTGTGTGAGGGAATGACTCAGCCCAGGAAACTTGGGATGTCTGCCTTCTGAGCTCTATGCCACAAGTCCCCAGTTCTGGCTTCTGCTCTCACAGCTCCAGTCCACTTCCCCCTTCCTCTGCCAGAGCACAAGGTGGATGGCTCCATGGGCAATTTTGTGCATTGGCCCTTTAAAAGGGTGCCTGAATTTTTAGCTGTTACTCTCTGGCAGACAGCACCCCACTGCTTTTCACAGCCAGATGTTATGTGGGTACCCTCCTCAGTTTTGGTGCTCTCTGCTGGGGAGCCCATCTTGGGGATTAGATCCCAGAGTTCTCAGTGGCAACCCCCCACATCTGAGTATCTCTCCAGGACTTCAGTTGCTATCTGTGGGTGCCCCACCACCCTTTCACGCCTCCACCCCTCCTACCAATCTCTATGCAGTCTCCACTTTCAGTCCTCAGGTGTCAGGGTTCTCTCCTGTGTGTTTTCTGTTGGTTATTCAGGAAGTTTTTCTGTATTTTAGTTGTAATATCAGTTTGTTCCTGGGAGCATGTCTGTGCAGCATCCACTTCTGGTGTGAGGTTTTGATTGACATTTCTCTAATGATTAATGATGTTGAACATCTTTTTATATACTTATTAGCTGTCTTTATGCCTTTTTTGGAAAAATTTATTAGATTGTCTGCCCATTTTTAATCAGATTTTTTTTTACTATTGAGTCGTATGAGTTCTTTTTTTTTAAAATATATTTTATTGATCTTTTTACAGAGAGGAAGGGAGAGAGATAGTTAGAAACATCGATGAGAGAGAAACATTGATCAGCTGCCTCCTGCACATCTCCCACTGGGGATGTGCCCGCAACCCAGGTACATGCCCTTGACCGGAATCGAACCTGGGACCTTTCAGTCTGCAGGCCAATGCTCTACCCACTGAGCTAAACCAGTTTCGGCCGTATGAGTTCTTTATATATTTTTGATGTTAGTACCTAATCAAATATATTATTTGAAAATGTGTTCATTCAATTACTTTTTCATTTTATCAATGGTTTCCTTTGTTTTGCAGTTTCTTTATTTGATGTTGTCCCACTTATTTATTTGTTTGTTTGTTTGCTTGTTTGTTTTTTGTTGCCTTTGCTTTTGGTGTCAAATCCAAAAAATTATTACTAAGACATACATCAAGAAACTCACCACCTGTGATTTCTTCTAGGAGTTTTATGCTTTTAGGTCTTACATTCAAGTTTTTAATTCATACTGCTTGTATACCCATGAAACTGCTGCCAAAACCAAGATTCAGAACATTTTCTTCACTCCCAAAAGATTCAGCACTCCCTCTGAAGTCCATCCCTCTCTCCATCCTTGGCCCTCAGACAGCTATCAATCGCTTTTTGTCATTATAAATTATGGATTACGTAGATTAACTTATGGATAATAAATTTCCATAAATGAAAATAATAGAGTATGTATACTTTTTTGACTGGCTTCTTTCACTCAGCATGGTTTTGAGAATTCACTTATTCTTGCCGAGCAATTTAATTTTTCCTAAGTTAGGGATGTTATGAAGAACTAGAGGCCTAATGCACAAAATTTATTCACTCGGGGCAGGGGGGCCCTCAGCCCGGCCTATGCCCTCTCGCAGTCCAGGAGCCCTCAGGGGATGTCCAACTGATGGCTTAGGCCCCCCAGGAGCAGGCCTAAGCCAGCAGTTGGACATCCCCCTTGCAGTCCAGGACCCCTCGCTCCTTACCACCTACCTGCTCACTGCTCCTTACAGCTGGGCTCACTGCTCCTTAGTGCTGCCGCGGAGGCTGGAGAGGCTCGTGCCACCACTGCTGCACTCGCCAGCCGTGAGCCCAGCTTCCGGCTGAGCGGTGCTCCCCCTATGGGAGCGCACTGACCACCAGGGGGCAGCTCCTGCGTGAAGCATCTGCCCCCTGGTGGTCAGTGTGTGTCATAGCAACTGGTCGTTTCACTGTTGAGTCAATTTGCATATTAGCCTTTTATTATATAGCATACTATTGTTAACATTTGTTTAAAAAGAAATAACAGGCCAATAAATGGGGGCTATAAAAATGGAGTCATTTACCCCCATGTTAGCAAACCAAAACTTAACTGCAACCTCTCCCAGGAATGTGAACTTTATTTTATTTTTTTAAAATATATTTTATTATTGATTTTTTACAGAGAGAAAGGGAGAAGGATAGAGAGTTAGAAACATCAATGAGAGAGAAACATCGAATCGATCAGCTGCCTCCTGCACACCTCCTACTGGGGATGTGCCAGCAACCAAGGTATATGCCCTTGACCGGAATCGAACCCAGGACCTTTCAGTCCACAGGCTGACGCTCTATCCACTGAGCCAAACCAGTTAGGGCAGGAATGTGAACTTTAAACAACTAATCTGAAATTTCCCAATTAGCACCAGTAAGGTAATTTGCATAATAATACCCTACCATTCTCTTTACCCTCCTCCCCTTAAAAAATGTGACCTGGCCCAAAACCAACCTTTCTTTGGTTTTTCAAATAATTCCCATGCCCCACCCTCTTTCTTCTTATAAAAACCTTCCATTTTGTACCATTCCTTGGAATACCCTTCTAGTTGCTAGATGGGGTGCTGCCTGATTCATGAATCACTTAATAAAGCCAATTAGATCTTTAAATTTACGTGGTTAAATTTTGTTTTATGACAGATTTGGGGGCAGTGATGCAATCAAAGGAGATTTCCAGTGGCATCAGGGAAGAGAAACATGAGTGTGGTACCCAGGAACCCTTTTGAGTTCACTGTCTTTCCCACCATTTCCGGGGCTGTCTGTAAGTTCCTCTCAGTTTTGAGCTCCACTCTCTTTGCATTTAAGCTTCCGATTTAATTGGCTTTCCCTTACTGGGTAGGTCTGCTTGAGCTGGCTGGGGGGTTCTCCCCAGAACCAAGCCCCTAGCCTTTCAGACCACAATTGCCAGGACTCAGTAACATCGCTTGGTTAATGGCAATATACTAGTAGTGGAAAATTCTGGCCCTTGATTCTGCTCCCAGATTCCATGTTGGGAACTGTTGGTGTGGTAGCAGTTGCAATTCTCTATTTGTTTGGAATCAGTCCACAGTCCCATTCCTATGATTTTCTGGTTCAATTCTTTCCCTAATCCATGGTTCCGTGGGAATTGTCTGTGGTGTCCACAGGGCCTTTTCTTGGCCAGGATGCAGTAATATCTCTTGGTTACTGCTGATATATTTAGGTGCACAAATTTGTTTGTCTTTTTTTCTACAGATAAAGGTTAAGGGAAATGGGATCCTTTGTATCCAAAAATTTGACAACTATAGTCCCCAAAACTGCAGATATTTAGCAAAATGGCAAAGTATTAACAATGGTCATTATAGGGAATGGTCCAATTAGACAAAAATGTTCACTTAAGAAATGCACTTGAGAGCAAAGGATGCCAGTTAAACATAAAGAAATGGAATGGCTACTTTAATTGATATGCAGAAACTTACAAAAGCCTTTATACCCCAAAGTGCCTTCATTGAAAGATTCATTGCAAAATGCTAATAATAAAAAATTAAAGCTACGAAAGGTATCTAAAACAACACCTTAGGCCTCCACATTATACTCTCCTCAGTATCAAAACACTGGCCCAGAAATTGATGTCTTAATTGTAATCAACTGGAACACTGGAGAAGAAATTTTCCTCAAGATCCTTTGCAAATTTTCCAATGCCTTCACACCTACCTTCAAAGGAGGGCCACATAGGAGCCCCTCTTAAAATTGATGGGACTCTTGAGAGATTTTCTAGAAAACTGCTATGCTATTCTCTTAAACAGCAAACAGGAAACAGAAATATTTACTGTTTGTCCTGACTAAAACCTGACAAGATATTTGAAAGGAATTAATAACCTTTGATCACAAATTTGGTCAAATTGGAAGCTGATATTCAGAGCCTGGTAGGAATTTTTTTTTAACACCTTGCCCCTATGCTAAAACTAGAAAAGAACCATTCCAACAATAAGTGGATGGGTGGGTCATTGCTTTGATATTATTCAGGCTGCAATCCAGTTCTTGGGGAACTGAAAACAACTATCTTTGTCTTGCAAATCTCTGTAGGGCCAGAAATGTGGCTCTAGTGGTTCAAAGTTGACCTGCCAAAAATGATCCCTCATTGCCAGACTTTTGCCATCCTAATGCTCTTATAACATGGTAACAGTGTGCTCCAGAAGTAGAGTATTAAGATGGGTAAACAATGTCTGTAAATTAAATGAACAGTCAGGGCTTTGGGATACAACCATCTGCTGATCCCTTGTTGCCCATGCTAGTATGATCAGCTACTGTAAGTCTTTAATGTCTTATAATACAAGTCTATTGTCAACAGGTTAAAGAAGACTTACCAGATCCCAATTCAAAGATTCCTGTTCATTACAGTCTAGAGCCTGGTGCTGGTATTCCAGAAGCATCATGAGAGGAAGACAGCCCATGAGCCCCATTAGAAAGGACCTTTCCAAGTGCTACTGCTACAAAACTGAGCTGTGGATGTGCATCAGGCTCTACCTGACATCTGGTCCTGTATAGACGCTGGAGACCTCCAAATCAAACTGATGAGGAAGAGAAGGAGCTGACATCAATTAGAGTGCTTCTGTTCAAGACAAAGGGTCAAGACTTCCCACTTCAATAAATTTGGAACATTTTCGCCTTCTTTTACTTTCCTTTACTCCAGCATTGGCCTGGAAAGCTAACCATCATGCATCTCGCAGGCCATTACTAAGAGGATGACCTTTCAGATTGCTGGATTGTTATCAAAGATTCCAATTTATACATAATTAACAAGCTAAGATTTTCCTCCACCTATTAAGAGTCCTCAACAGCAGCACCCATTTTTACAAGGCATGTAGGATGACTCTTTGTTTCAGGCTAGGAGATTCTCTTCCCATATGCATTAAAAATCTAACTGACCCCTGGTTTGAACAGGTATATGCAGAAATTCCTGAAAAATGAGTCTACTCACAGTTCTGCCATAGCACACAGCCAGGCAATGCCTCTTAGATTATCTAACTGTAACCCTAACTTCACAAATGAACTGGGATCCCTCATTGGTCAACTTCTCTGAATCTACATTGTTGAGTTAGAAAGTACTTACAGGAGGCTTCACTTTAAATTTTAAAAGGACCTTTGGCAGGTCCCTACTTCCCTGGTTTAGGAATAAATACAAATGAGGCAGAAATCTGCTGTGAAAGCAGTAGCTACCCCTCACCCTCCATCCCAATCTTTACATTCTCTAGCCAAAGTTGTTCTTGATAATAGAATAACCTTCTATTATATTTTTGCTGAGCAAGGAGGTGTCTGCTGTGGCCAACACTACCTGCTGTACCTGGTTCAGCACTCCTGGGAAGTGTAAATGCGTGTTCACAGCTGCTAACTACTCACCAAATGACCTCCCTAGGACTGGAGTACCTGAGAGGGAAGAGAAAGTGACAGTCTTGAAAGCTGTGGGCCAGGGGTCACAGCCTGTGAGAGTTCCAAGATTCAGCACCATGTCATGACCTAGGAATACCACACAAAGCATCAGCAAAAGCTGCAAGAACTAGAGAGTGGTAGCTGAGAGTGGCAC